TTCCTTCAAATTTCATGATTTACTTTTTTCGAATTACATAATCTGATTTTGATTAGGGCATGCATAGTGACGCTAAATATAGCACGTATAAACACGCATGTTGTATATTCATGCAGGTAAAATCATAATTATGACATAATTGCACATTGTAACACAACTTCCAATAAAATATTGATGCGAAATCAGTCGATTGTCGCGCCACACCTGACTGTGCGTTTCCACTTAAAAAGAGTAGATTGAAATTGGTGACGGTATTATTGAACAAATCAGTTTTATCACCGTATTTGTCGAAGAGCAAGTGGAAACTCTCAACCTGGTGCCTAACATGTTAAACATACGCTTGATATTAAGGCCCCGTCTGCACGATTATGGAAGATTTTAAAAACGCAAAAATATTTTCCCGGCGTTAAAATATTTATTTACGTAGACACAAAAACGATCCGAAAACGCTAAAGTCCCGCAATACGCCTTCATGTTTTCCACCCAGTTGTCGCACATGTGGGATGTCCAATAGACCTTTTGCATTATCGACTTATGCATGATCTATGCAAGGAAATGCAATCAAATCACCACAGCTGAAAAGAGCGTACCAAAATTAGTAAAAATGCAAAGTTTGGTTGCGAAATGTCGTAAAATACGGAAAATATAGCCTTGCAAAGTTTGCAAATTTGTATACTTTTTTCTAACAAAAATTGTTACCACATTCAGGCCAAAAATGGTAACAATTTCGTTTGGTCGTAAAAAAGTATACAAATTTGCAAACTTTGCAAGGCTATATTTTCCACATTTTTCAACATTTCGCAGCCAACTTTTGCATTTCTACTAATTTCAGTACGCTCTTTTCAGCTGTGATGATTTCCTTGCATGGATAAGAAAGTAGTCTATAATGCAAAAGGTCTATTAAAAACAAAAATCTATCAAACGCAAAGCGAGAAACAAGAATGAGAACTTTGTTTCGACAGATGACGAAACCGAGCTCCTTAAACATGTTGTTGTGTATCTAAAGTGGGGAGAGCAGCGGGAAATGTCATGTATAAAAAAACACGTATATAACCAAATATCCCGACATTTCTGAAATGTTTCTCGCGTAAGACTTTTTCAGTAAATGTTAAAAGGATTTGCGAAGATATCGTAGTCACCATGAGAATAATCTAATAAGACTCAACCTAAATAAGACAGTTAAGACTCATTTGATGCTGATATAGGAATATTAAAACCTATCATACCATATCTTTGCAATGACGACTTTATCGACATACAATCACTATGCTGTGACCAGACAGATCAGTAGACTAAATCTTGATGGTTGTAAAAAGTTTATTAAGCTTTACGGGAATATACCCCGTATTATTACAACGGATTATACCTCCCTGTTTAATATTAAAAAGCAAATGTCAGTATAGCAAATAATTATTATTTTGTGTAAATTTTCAAATAGCTACTAATTGTCCAATTACAATGCTCTATTTTGGTCCCGTGAAAAAAATTATCATCGTATTTCGGCATTAACTAGCAGATAGTACTTTTTGCTATTATTTTGACCACCTTCTGCCCCGTATTCACTGCTGAAGCGGTAATGATATTTTTTTAACAGCTTATTTTTACTATAACACAACTTATACTCGCCGCTTAACCGCTATAGATCGAAATTGCGAAAATTAAATCTATCAAAATATGGCTCCGACAAACCCGCGAAATTAAATTCGCGCCAAATGGGATCATGACGTCATGCATGCAAATATATTTATCTGAGAAATTCCGAGGTGAAAAGTAGAGGCGGAGACCTCTGTCAGGAAGTTAAAATTGATTTTAGCCGTTTAAAAAAGCTTGCTAAAATGTCGGCAGATCGTCGTGTTGCATGCAGTTGTCGCAGGCGCAAATATGCCTTCAAAACATCGGCTATATACGAGAGAGTCAAAATATAGATGTTTATTCGCTTTGACTCTATCCTTAGACAAAAATTTGGGGTGACTTATCAACGGCTGGTCAAACACTGGTTATAGCTCAAGCCGGCTGTCATAATACTAAAGCACTCTGTATTACATAATGAATAACTTTCAATTTGAAAGTTTAAAACTTATAAATTATAAAATTTAGGCATGCATTCAATGATGCAAAGAATATTTGTAACTGAGAACCAAAAGAATTTCATCGTATAGTCAACAGTGAAATTAGTTAAAAAACTAAAGCATTTAAAGAATATTTGATTGCAATTCAAGCAAAGTTTCAACAAACAACAGGCGATTCTAGAGAGATCGGAAAAATCCATTATATCCGCCGCATACCGCTATTCGGCCAGTCTCTGCATGTGGTCTATATATCCTGGATTCGCTGTTCTGGACAATACCTTTAAAATTGGACTCTCCGATAGCAATTGTTAGAGTGTAACTGCGTGGTTTTACAATCCGGCTGTATAAAGTATATATCATATATAGTGGAATTCATATTTGGGACGGGAAACTCAAACGGAAAAGTAATAACCAGTAGTAAAAATCTGTCTTAACATGAATATAGGGATGAATAAGTATAAACGTATGATGGGTCAGATAATGCTAAAAGCGGTATCGTAATTATTACGATAAAATTTTGTTTATTTCTCTTAGCCTTGTTTCGTCCTCTACCATGTTGATATGTCAGAAACTCGTATGATTTGATCCGTCCAAATGCGAATTCAAGACGAGTTTCGCCGTCAAGCGGGATTCCCGTCCAATCCGTCTCCGTCAAACTTATTCGTCAATTCGGGAAAGTTAGACGGGAAAATTCGGAAGAAAAACTCGTCCGTGACCGGATTCACATGCACCTGACGAGATTCCCGTCCTTGATGAGTTTCCCGTCTAAGACGAGTTTCCCGTCTCTAATATGTACTGTATAGGTATTGAGTACTTATTATCCATACAGCTTGAATTTAATTCGATTTTTAAAAACTCCATGCATAATTTTAATTCGCGGGTTTTAAACTTTGAACGACACTATGATTCTTGGCACAGCTTAAGTGAGAGAGCCGGACACATTATTTTTGTCGTTAATTTTATTGTAAATAATGTCAATTATATTACTCAGTTGAAAAATAAACAACAAATATGAAACTTAATATTTCCATACACAAAGAACCTATTATTGATTTTAGCATTGAGAAAAGATTTTTCCACCTTTAAAAGTAAATGATAAATCAATGGACGACTTGTGCTTTCAAGAAGATAAATCATCACAGTCAGAAAGATCTTACTTAAATATTAGTTCAAATGCAAAGTTTGGCTGCGAAATTTTGTAAAATACGGAAAATATAGCAATGCAATATTGGTATATTTTGTACACTTTTCAATTACATGTGGAAATGTGTAACTAGATTAGTTACACACTTTCGGCCGTAATACAAAAGTATACAAAATTCGTGAACTTCGCATGGCTATATTTTCCGTAATTTACTCGTTTCACTAACGCGGCGCAAATTTCCCTTTTCAGTTAAAAGCAAATAAATTCAATATTTTGAGAGAAAGAATATTTTGAGAGAAACGGGTACTAGACCCGTCAAAATGTATGATATATCATTGGCCCAATTTATACTAGAAACGTATCATCCGTCAGGACGAACTTGGACCAGCACTAAACGGATAGTTCGTCATCTAGTTCGTCCCTGTGTAAACACGGGCAAAAAGATGAATTCTCATCCGTCAACACGAATTATCCGCATCATGAATTACCCTCTTGACGCACCATCCGTCGGTTAAAGTATAAGGGCCTGTTTATATGATCCCGCCTAGCCGGGACGGGACAGTTTCCGAGATCCCGCTTGTATGACCACTTTTCCAATCCGCGTAGGCGGGATCCCGCTTAGACGGGACGAGAAATTACCATATAAACACTCCATCCATGCCTGCTTGGCCGAGATGATTCGCGATAAACATACATTTGGAGCATGTGTATATACTGGCATATTCGTTTTCTACAATAAGACATGCCGTCGAATGAACCTACGCTACAAAATGAACTCCATATATAAACACGCCATCCCGCCTAGGCGAGTTTCCCGGTCAAGCGGGATGAAAACATCCCGTCCCGGCTAGACGGGATCATATAAACAGGCCCTAAATACGGGCCTTCATGGGATGGGGACAAACTACGCAAAATGCATCATAAAACGGCTCTTGTGCACTCTCTTTACCACATGAGTAATTTCCCAATCCCCGTACAGTTTCTAAACGAGCGATTCTGTTTTGTTTGACGTATTCGTCTACATAGTTCGTTTGGATAGTTTGTCTTGTGTTTATATAAACAGATATACTCACACGAATTGTCTGTCAGATGGATAATCCGTCTCTACATAGTATAAATCGGGTCAATCATTATAATTACCAAAAATATCACAAAATTGTCAAAATTAGAAAATTTTGAGAACTTAAAGATTCGTAAAAATCGCGTCGCGTTGGCAAATCGGGTCATCGAAGACGGGACCTCGTCAGATGGGAATCCGGTCACGGACGGGTTTCTCGTCTAAAGGCTAGTTTCCACTTAGGAAAAATCTCCTTTGGATAGGAACGGACAGGAAAATTTCCTTTGTCGGTGAGTTCTCAGACGGCGTTTATACAAAGGAAACTCTCCTGTCCTGTCCGATCCAAAGGATGCACAATCCGGCAAGGTAAGAGAAAATGAACAAAATTACTATCGTGATATGTAATTACGATGTCCTTTTTATAGCATTATCTGACCCATCACACGTTTAAACTGATCCATCCAACTTATTCGTCTGTTTAGACGGTAAAGTTAGACGGAAAAATTCGGACGAGAAATCAGTCTGTCACAAGAATCACATCAGACGAGATTCCGTCTTCGACGAGTTTCCCGTCTAAGACTTGTTTTCCGTCTCTTGTATCATGATAAAATGTTTGTACATTGCTGAGTTTCTAAACCATCCTGATATCTCTCTAATTGTTCGCTAGACTTTTAATTTTGAAATGTGAATTACAATCGCGTTGTGATTACATACATACATACATAATACTTTATCTAAACACGCTAGCCTCATCAGCAACGCTGTTTTTCATGAGGGGCGTATTTACATTAGAAATATACAAACAATAGATTACATAGAACATACTGTACAGGGATAGCAAACAGATTATACAACAAATAGGCAATAGACAAAAAACGATATGAGAATGAGGACAGGTCAGCTTCACCTCAAAATACTGAGATTTTATCATCCGTTTAAATGATTGAATAGAATCGGCAGCTTTTGCTTCAAAAGGTAGACTATTTGAAAAGAACTTTCAAATACAATGGAGCTTTCCATTGGAATAATTGTGGCGACTGTGTAACAATGAAAACGCATTTTACCACAAGGAACTTGTTTAAAGAGGAATTTTGTCGCATGTTTGTTTTCGTTTATTACTGTACTTACAGCATTCATGCAAAATTCCTTATTTGTTATATGATATTTGCATGAAGGAAGGCTACCGTCAGCTTTTTTTCAAGCACAATGGTGCATATAAGAGGCTTTGATCGAGACGTTTCATCAGTTGTCTCACCAACGTTTGCAGGAAAGTAACATTTCTCCAAATACGTCGTATAGAAATTGGTTTTTGCATGCAGATATATTTTACGAAGCTATATTGTATGCAATAAGGAGAGTGCTGAAGTATTCAAGAAGCGCAACGGACTATAAAATGGGTCTTTTTGCGCTCACTACTTTTTTGTTCTTACTAATCACAGTCATACCGAAGGTATCTGCTTCTGACACAGAAATTTGGTACAGCGATGTTCATGATTTGCCATACTGGATACAAGATTCATTGTTGCTGTAAGTATGGAAAAAGGCCTCTTGACATATAGAAAATCAAATTTAGGTTTAAAAGTGAAACGCGGCCTTACAATGCATATGATTTTGCTGATCCGGTTGTAATAAAGCGGCTATAATAGATTAGTTAAGGTAAAAATGTATTAAAATATAGTTGTAAAATAGTAATTATTATTTATTGTAATTCATTGCTAACCCCTGAGCCGGCGCAGAGCGCCGTGTGAGGGTTTAATTCCGCTCGGAGATTTGGAATTACACCGCAAGGTTATTATGCAGAGGGTTTATGACAGACAGCTGAATCCAAAGTTGTCTAAATTCAATGTAGACGTTTAATGATCCTGGTGCTTGTGCGCATGCGCACAATTTAAGCGAGTGAAGATTGGTAATCGGCAGCTTCTTGATTAGCCAAGAAATAAAGTTTGTATTTCTCACTTTGCAAACTTTGCAAAAGCGTTTAGAAAAGATAGCAGCTGTGCCTGATAACGTTAGAATAAACTAATTTTAACACTTTGTAAACTTTACGCAGGTATGCCGATGAAATTGGTAATCGTTCTCTCACTGGGCCAATACGCAAGATCTATAGAAAAGACCTGGACCAGAACTACGTGGCTTACTACGAATTTCAGTTTGAAAATTGGTGCATGACGTTTTCAACCGGGCCGAAGACAGGAGACCACAGATTGGTTGAGGAGAAAGAGGCTCCATCAATCACGGACATTCTGAATGCACAAGCCGCTGAAGTGAACAAAACCTGTTCGACGTTTTTCCGTCTGAGTCCTGATGGTGCAACAATTTGTGAAGATGCATCGGGAAAAGCTATCGCTTCAACAATGGACTTGAGAACACTCACAAAAGTAAGTTCGCATGTTTCATTTAAAAACCCAAAAATAAATTAGTCACAGACTGAAAAACGTCCAGGGGCCGGTTGTATCAAGCCCGTTAAGCTTAAACGATGGTTAAGTTCAAAATAGAAAACAAGTCGATCGTTTTATCGAACTAAACTGTTTTTAACATTAATATACAAAGATACTGTTTACAACTACATATTCAGTGCATAATTTTCAAGTTCATAAGTCAAGAGAATTGTAAGAGTGTTATCTAATTTTGACTTAACCCTGTTTAAGCTAAACTGGCTGATACAACCTGCCCCAGGTTAATAGTGGATAGAAATTTTACAGAAAAATTGTGTAAACTAAACCTGTACGTTTATGAATGGTATTATTCTCAATATGACAAAGTATCGCTATTTTCGGCAAAATGCATGCCTTTTCTGTAAAATGTCCGATCGGCAAAATATTCGTTCGGCAAAGTGTCTTTCGTCAAATTGTCCGGTCACCTGCAGTAAAGCTTGGCTTTTGTTTCGAATTGTTTATGACCATGCAGCTCTGCATGATGTGCGTTATTTCCCGTTCCAAAAAGGTTGCCGGCATCAAGCAGTAACTTCTATGCTTTATTATTTTTCAGGATATGAATGAAACAGCACTAGACATCGAAATTAGCGAGGCTTTAGCGGACTTTGAAGAAGTATGGAATGCAGTTGCCAAAAAAATACGCTCTTCCAGCGAATGGAAAGAATTTTCAGTTCACGGTTGGCCCAAAATTCCATCAGCTTCTCCGAGAACAATGATATATAAAGTTTTGACTCCAGGAGAATCACAAGATATACCAATAGGAACTTCCGATGCATCTCAAGTTGAAATAAATGTAGGAGTGGAAGAGAATGAAAATACACTAGCAACATTATGCTCTTTACTTGGCTTTATTTGCTCAAAGACAGGTGAAGTGGAAGTTTCACGAATCCTCGGAACAAAGAAAAACCTGGAGAACTTAAACTTCATTAATTTTGACGTAACGGACGAGTATGAATCAATTGTGAAAAAACTTAAGAAACGGAGTATCGATTTTTACCTGAAACTGAGTGTTGAGCGAAAGTTTGTTGTTATACGACGTTACACGATCGATTTTAATCACAGACAAAGTAAAAGATCCGGCTGGAGTGGTGTCCTTGAGTGCAGCATTGATCACGAATACCTCATGCCAGATTATACACAACACATGTGTGGAAATTGTAAAAGTGGTTGCGTTCCAGTTGCTTGGGCTCAGATTTTTGCTTACTACGACAGAGTGGCACATCGAGATAAAGATAGTAGATACAGTGAAAAGCTTTGGCAAGGAATAAATGGTATATCTGGGAAACCATCGGAAGAAGCACCGGGATGTTTGAACCGGAGAGCAGAAAAATATGTCGAAGCTCTTCGTGTTGAGCTCGGCACGTTTTGCCGCAACGGGCAGGGGGCAACATACGCAAGTAAAACAGCTGATGTAAATGAATGGTTTCGTCAACGTCAGGAATCTGGACGAGTGATAAAGTTGCCTAGGCGAAACAGAATGAAGCAGATTAGTTGCTATATTAAACAAAATTACCCCGTCTTGAATTCGTTCTGGTATAGAGGAGCTAACAACAGCGAGAAAAAAGCAGGGCATACCGTTGTTATAACAAAGGTTAGAGAAAAATCGCTCAGTTACAAGACATGTCGAAGATGTCAGTGGTGGCCAAAAACCAAATGTGACTGGAAGACTGAACACACATACCAATGGTACCGCAGAATGGGCTGGGGGCGTAATCATAAAGAAAACGGTTGGACCACAGGAGATATTGGCGTATCGTCGTTTGGGGCTTTTGTTGCAGTTGTTGGTCCCGTTGAATGCACAGGAAAATTTTAAAACTAGAGTCTCTGAAATGTCATTTCCTGCACTTTAGAACGAGATTTACAGCGCTCTAAAGGTAACAAAATCTCATAAAATATTTCAAAAGACGACACTAATTGAACACTGAATCTCCATTTAAGTTAATTAGTTAATATCTTTATTTACTAAATTGCGTATTTTCTGAGGTTATTTCGTTTTCTGGGACAGACTTTCAATACTATATACGGTAACATATAGAAGACAGTGCTTTTAAAACATAATTCAGTGTTGTATGAATCTAAAAAGGGGAAATAGATATGATACCATCAAAGGGGCACTTACGAAAATGTTATTCAATAAAGTATGTTCATTTTGTGGAATGCACCGTCAAAGCACCTAGTGTAACCGAAAACGGAGGTTTTCGAAAACGCTGTCCAGAGTGGAGTTTTTCGTAAACGCCGTTTTCGTGTTTACGTGTGGACGGGCGAAAACGAAGGTTTTAGAATTCGATGACGTTGATAATCGTATCCAGTCTATAACGAGTTTAACGGCTTGTGTTTTGTATCTCTTCAAGATGGCGAACCAAAATTGCTTGGCTGTTTCACTTTGGCCTATTTCATAATTTCAAGTCTAATAGCATGCATTCAGCTTCATCTTATTATGCTAAACCTCCATGGAGAGTGTTTTAAAAAGCGAATGAATATGATGAAGTTGCTTCCCGTCTCACCAGCTACACAACGAAAATTTTTTCCTTTGATTTAGTCATTTTAAAAGAAAGAGCGAGCATAAGGCGAACCCAAAGCAAATACGCGGAATTGTTTTTAAATTCCGCCAAATTAACATAGTTGTTATCTAGGCGCGCATAAGTTATTGCCATTCGAGCCCCGCGATCGTTTGGAAGCGCTCATATTACTTGGAATTGCGCATGCTCTATGCCTGGCGCTAGCTATCAAATTTCCTTCGTTTTAGCGTTTACGTGTGGATGGACAAAAACGATTCGAATACGCTTCGTGTTGACGCGAATGTTTTTAAAAACGAAAAATATTCGGATACGTGTGGACAGGGTCTAAATCATTATTATTATATAGCCGAATTCGTATTAGGGACGGAAAACTCATCTTAGATGGGAAAGTTGATAGTAAAAACCCGTCTTAACATGAATAGGAATGGATAAATTTATACGTATGGTCAGATAATGCTCGTCTCGTAATCATTTCGATTGTTCATTTTGTTTTAGCCTCGTTCCCTCGTTGACCTAAAGCCGAATTTGTATTACAGACGGGAAACTCGTCTTGAGGCCCACACCACTGAGCTATACTATAATTCCTGGAGGACTTGCTCCTAATGTTTTGAAATGCAAAAAGCGAAGCAAAAACATGTCGGATCAAAGGCCTTTGCTGACGCCAGATTGACGCCACTGGTTCTTATTTGCAATGGTAGTTACCACTGACCGACCGCGATTCAAAGCATGAAAAAATGCGAGCACCCTCGTTAGGGTGAAGCTTAGCAGTTGAGAACTGCAAGTTCTCGGGACATGAAACGTTTTTAGTTTGAGACACTTCTCATGTGTCTCAGAAGTGGCTTGATATAAATTTTCTTAACAGCCTAATTTTATCTCCGAATATGATCGCCAGGCTTAGTTAAACGTTCAGTGCTTCGATCCCGTCTTCAAACGTGTATGGACATGTCTCACTAACGAAAATTGAAACATCGTGCACCTTTGCCGTTCACGATGTACACAATCAATTTTCTACTAAAAATATAATAAAGTAAAAAACTTTACATAAGAAATGATGGTCAGAAAAGAGCAATTACACGTCTTTTGCACATCTATTGATATATATATATATATATATATATATATATATATATATATATATATATATATATATATATATATATATATATATATGACCATATTAAAAGTATTTTCAACTTAACATATTAACTCTACACATGCATTATTTCCAAAACTATATATTGATTTTGCTGAAATCAATGTCAACGAGTCGTACGTCTAACTTAATATACACCAATTTACGTTTATAACACAACAATTTTGGATTATCCAAACGCTAGCTTATATTATTATAAAATAATGACTATACATGTCAAAAATTTGGAAAAACTTACTATATAAAGTCCTGAATATTTTGCACGCAATGACGACTTTAAACGACAATGGAAAGAAGTCCATAGCCGTTGCAATTGACAAGTAAATTTGAAAGTTTTATAAAGAAAGGTTTGAATTTTTTTGAAATACTATGTTTTGGAAATATTTTGGGAATCTTGGAAATGATGTAGCAAAAAACATCTGGAAACTCTGAAATATTTTCATGATATCAATTACAGTACTGTCCAGAAATAACCTAACACTGCGGTAGCGGTTCGGTTGCGGTCGGCCGATAAAACCCCAGACGACCGCAAGGGAAAAAACAACTTCGCAGTGGCTTTTCGCTTCCAAACGAAATGTTATGAACAGCTGAGAACGACAACACAATTACAAAGTAGAAAAAGTCTGAAGAAATGTCTGTCCGACCGAGTAAAACCGAGGTTTAACCTCCGTCTCATCGGGTTCGACCTCGGTTCAACCGCAATCAGACTCAGGTTTGACCTAGGTTAACCGCGGTTTTTGTTAGGTTATTTCTGGACAGTACTGTACATATGGTGTAAATGATACAAAGTCCTGAAATGTACTTTTTTTCACTTAATACACATATTCTATGTTTGTTAAGAATATGTATATTTCGAGTTGTTTTTACAAACAGGAGAAACTAGTGTCGCCATTGGTGTAGTCTACTACGATAGGATAGATGAAGGAATTGATGAAGGTATAAGATATAATTACTGACAACCAGCACGAACAATGTACGAAATGTACCTTATAGTCTGTTACGCCACAGTTTCTATGAAATATAAGCTCTTACATATCAGGAATGATCAAACATTTCTACCGAACGCAGGACGACATTATTCGGCAAGATTTTATTACAACGACATTCCGTCGAATTTTAATGAAGAAATGAATATTTTAAACTGCACGGTTTTTCTAAGAACACGACCACCATTTTTTCACAATAACTAAATTATATTTTTAGATTACGACTGTCGTCCCACATTCGTATATTTACTTCAGAAAAAGATCCCTCTTGTCTAACTAAGGCTGCGGTGATAATTTGTATAAAGTCGACACTCAAATTACACATAGCAAGTTATTAATAGTTAATACTTTCTTTATTATATGACAAACAGAGTTAAATGGCGCACCTGAAATAACAAAATTATTTCACAAAGTCCACAGGGGCTTAATTTTTATTGCCTTTCGAGCCTTACAATCACAAAAACGTTAAAATTCAAGCATTTTGTTGCACAGAAAGTAAAATTGTAAAAGAAATTAGGGATGAGGGGCATTCTGAATGCGAATTTCATAATTCGGAAAATGAAAATGAAGAATACGAAACTACTTTTATCATATCTTAAAGATGATTTCATTGGTGGATATTATAGTTCTAAAATATTCTTTGGAAATTCCTGACCAATAGCATCGTTACTTAGGTAGCCATTTTGAATTTGAAATTATGCTTCAATAATTCATTTCCACTTACGACGACACGATGGCCATTGCCTCACAATATTCGTTGAAACAAATCATGTCATATAATAAAAACGTAGCTACTAACATCGACCACACAAGCTGTAATGAAAAATATCAAACACGAAACTATGAAGCCTTGCTCGGTTCTTCATATTTTCCAGTACAGTGAAAAAGGTCGTAGGCATGCAAGGTCGTTGTTAGCAATCGTATTTCATATCTAATATTGCATTTTATGACCATTATACAAACAATCCGAACTTTTAACTCGTCTTAATTAGCATTTTAATTTCTGTATTTCCTGTGCTTCCACTATCAGTTATCATCTTAACTGCATAATTGTTATTATTATGTCATTACCAAAGGAAGTTATCATACAAGTTAAATAAATCACTCAGTATTTTGAAAAAACTCAGCAGTGACTCTAAATGACATTAAAAGCTCTTATCTAAAGGTTTCTAACCTCAGAACTCAGATACAATGTTATTTGCAATTAATGTTTTAATAATTATCATGGTTAATGAATTTAATATTTTTAATATTTAATATATTTTGAAGAGAAAGGTTTGTAATGATTTATGTTGAAATATGAAACGAATTTCCATTGCTGCGTAAAGCTAATTAAACTGTTTTTATACAACTGATGCTATTCATGCAATCAATTCTTAAAATAGCCAGCATAACTTATTCGGAAGTGTTCTTTCAATGAACAGTTGAAATAATTAAAACTTTCTACAGGATACAAAACACTTTACCGTTATATAAATGCAATGTATAAATGCGTGCGTGTTCTGCGTGAAACGTTTCTCAGTCAACGGCTGCAGATTACAATACTGTCACTCGACTTCTGTTGAACGAAAAAGTCAACAACAATTGAGAATTACTGGTAAGTGTTGCAGTGTTTGGAAATATTGTCAGGGTTTCATTTTCCACGAGTGATTTCACCGTTTCTGCTAAATGGTGCTTGAAATAGATGTTTCAGAACCTTTATCACTATCTGAATGACTGCGCCATCATGGAATAAAATATCAAAAAGCCTCCCACAAATTTTTGCACGTGTCTAGTCTCAACTCATGATAACCCAAGGAACTACGCGGCGTAGGTCCTCCTTGAGTTTTTCACGTTGCGTAAAATCTTGTATTTCAAAACGTGGTAGCGTGAAACGTCTTAAGTTGTATAAATTTGGCAGCACAACAGTTAAAGTTTCTGTACCAGCCTGGGTAATTGAAGAACAAAACAAATCAAGTTTTTTCAAAAAACTCAACGATCCTATTGCAGTCATTAATTGTTGCTCTCCTTTCACTTTGGTAAAATTAATGCAATCCAACGACAGCGTTTCCAAAAATTTCATTGCTGGTAACGCCTCAGCTAGAGCATCTATCCCAACTTGGGTAGAATGACGCCCACTGTAGTCTAAAGAAAGTTTCTTTAGAGATCTTACTTTAAGTAATAAAGCAAACAGCTGCTTTGCATTGTCATCAGTATCGAAATATGTCCTGTTCAACTTAATCTTCTCGAGAGACGACAGTGACGCAATAGGCAATAAGG